AAAATAAACAAATGGATCACAAAAACAAAACCCAGAACTCTCACTCAAACCTCAAATTGTATTTTGGGCACATTACATGAAGACCTAGTTTTCTTTAGTAGTCTATAATACCTTATATCTTTTGTTGTATAATATGCATACACAAGATTATATAGCCCCAGTAATATAACTGCCTGCAGGCACTGAGTTATATCTTCAGTCACATCTCCTGTTTGGCCAGATGTAATGGGAGAATAATCTTGAACAGAAACCAAGACAACAATAAAAGAAAAGAAATCAGGCCAAACAAAAATGTAACTTGAGAAAATGTCTTAGACTTGACTCTCCCCAGTTCTGTTATAAAGGTCAAACTTGCAAGATTTGTTACTCTGTAATGAGTAGTATTAGTATTCATAATTTTGATTTTCTAGTCTGGTCTACCTCAAAGGGCTGAAAGGTGGCTTGCTCCGGTTTGGCTGAACCGGTAGTGGAATTCAGGCCTGGGTTGCAGAACCGGCAGCGACCCAGGCCTGCCACGCCCCCAAACTAATTCCCTCATTGCTGCTGGGCTGTTGCCATTTTGGTTTTTAGTGACTGCACGTGTGCAGTTCACTGTAAATTGTTCTGTGAATGCGTGAAGAACAATTTAGATTGAACAGCTCACAGTGCATCTGGGGCATGGGCGGGTTGCAAACCAGTAATAAAACTGGCAGCAACCCACCCCTGGCTAAAATGCTAGCAGGGTACAGCTGTGTACCAAAAGCATACTGATAACACCTTATCCATATTATTGGATGATCCCTCCCAATAGCTTCACGTAGATGTTAAATAATGGAGGGGGAGGGTCTAAGGGTTTGATCATTAACATTGAAGTCAGCTCTTCAGAAAGAAGTACCAGTGAAGCACATCCCATCCCATCCCCTGCTCAATTAACACGTTTGATGACGTTGAAAGCAGTTGACCACAGTTGACCAATCCAGGAAGATCAGGATAATCACACACACCCCCTTATTCCAAACCTATTACAGGTCATCCACAATAGCAACTAATGTAAAAGATAAAGAGTTCCCTGTCCAATCATGTTCAATTGTAAGCTGATATTTGTTTCTTAGCTGAGGAAGCCAGCCTTGTCCAAAGAGATTTCTCTGGTCATGTGGCCAGCATGACTATACACCAAGGCGCACAGAACACTTATCTTCCTACTGAAGTGGTACCTATTTATCTACTCACATTTGTATACTTTTGAACTGTGAGGTGGGCAGGAACTGGGACAAATAACAGGAGTTCACTGCCTTGTGCAACACTCAGATCACAAAGGGCTGTCAGCTTTCCAGCTGATAAATTCAGTATCTTTAACCACTGAGCCACAGTAACTGATGTAGTTCTGTCCTATACTCAAAAAATCCAGATAATCTGTTTCATTCCAGGCTTTCTGTAATTGTAGTCTTACCATCTTTCCAACAACTTTAAGATTTTGAAATAAAAGACCATGTGGGTTAAGCGCACATGGTTTCTGAAATCTGGAAATGTCTATTTAAAAATGTGTACTGTCCTGGTGCTTGTCAAATGCCATTAGTTTTGCAAGCTTTAACTCTTATATTTTAATCCTTAGAATTTGTGGACTCAGCATCTATACAATACTTATTTAAGCCCAAAGATTCAGCCCTAACTACTGGTAGAATTCGCTCAAAAAGCAATATTAACAACTCTGTATCAGACAAAAAAATATATCCAGAAGTATAACTCCTAAGGATTTTAGGAATGAAAGAAAAGAAGATTTAACAAAATAGTGTCCCAATTAATGTGAGCTGTGTGGGGTTATTAAAAAATAAAATTAATATACTGACATAGAATGCAAAAATGAGCTGTTCAGAGTCTAATACCTATCCTATTAGAAAATAACATATATATCGATGCAGTGTAATTATATATTACTGTATCATCTAAGGAAGTTTATATCTGAACGAACATGCCCATAGGGGTATACTACTGGATCCATGAAATGCACAAAACCACAAGGCAATCTGAAGGCAGCAGGAGACAGCACCCCACCCAATCCAAAAAGTTAAAAAAGGTGACACGGTGGCACCCAATTACTGGACTGAGAGAATAGACCTAAATTTCTGAGCTGAAAACGAGCTGGGCACCCAGTCACAAAATCATCCTCAAGATGGCACCTGCACAGCGTTTTTCTTTTCTTACGAAGAAATCAACATGTAGGTAGGTGTTCGTGTGCTTGGTAAGAGTCAAGCTGGACCGAGGGAGGGAAGACTTTATTTTCACCTGATGCAATTAGTTGCTTTCGGAGTAACGCTGTGTAAATTCCTCGGGTATAGTTTGAAACGCGTGGTTTACACTTTTACTCGAGAGCAATGTGTAGGCAATTGTGGGTCGTTCAATCGGCCGTAATGAAACGAGCCACGCTTTAGCCTGAAAGCTGAACGTGTCTGTGAAACGGGAGTTGGGGGGTGGGGGTGTCGATATCGCTGGAGGAGACCTATTGGTACCTGTTAAGTATTGTATGTTATGCCCGCTTGGTTCTCATATTCACAGCAAAATTATCGGTACTTTTCAAAATAGTACTTCGTGCCTTTCATGAAGGAAGGTCACTAACCGAAGCGGTCGGCGCAAAGGAAATAATAATTGTTAAGAGCACTCAGCAGCTTAGCGCCGCTTCAGCAGCAAACAAGGTTTTTGAGGAGGCGCTTTTAGCGCGATGCCTCGGTGCCTTTAATTTTCCCGAAAACTCTCACCGCATCACCTTGGTTTGCTTGGGGTGCCGCCCATTGTAGACCCTCCTTTCCTCTCCGCCTCCCAACAGGGGACGGGCAGGAAGGCGGTGCGGTGGAGCAGCCATTTTGTGGCGCTGCTCGGTCGCTGGCGCCGGGCTCGGCGGCGAGTTGGTTTCATTCTCTAACCCTTTTTCCTCTCCCGTACAGGCTCCTCGGTAAGAACACGGAACTCTCCTGCCTCACTGAGGAGCGGGAGGGGAGACCGGGCTTACCCACCCCGGCTGCAAGCGAAACCTGGCGCTCTTTCACTGCGGCTGCACAAAGGCTGCGGCGCGGAGGGGGCGGGAATTAGGCCTGAGGGAAATTCCAGAGCCTCGTTACCTCCTAAGTCTTAGCTCCATAATGTGGGCTCATCGATACGATTTGTTCGGAGGACGTGTAACGTTCCCCATGGTATATTAGTCTTGGCGTGCAGGTTTGTGTCGTTTCTGTGAATGGCTGAGCTGGCTCCGGGCAGTGAAAAACTGCCTATGGGCCTCGTCGTCTTGTAACCCCGTTTCTTTTGGGGTAGGTGAGTATTAGTGTTCTTACCGTAAATTGGCTGCGGGAAGCCAGGCTTTTCCGGGGCCGCCTCGGGCCTAATTTGATGTCGCTGGTCGGCCGGCCAAGGAAAAGTGCAAGCGCCCTCGTTAAAAGGGAGGGAAGCGAAGTGAGGCTGTTTTGGATTTTAAGCCAAGATGGCCTTGGCTGCGGAAAATGCTGCAACGATCACAGCTACTGCAATACATCTGCTTTCTGGGTTCAATAAAATTGCTCTCTTGCGCATATTCGTTAGTGATACTTGGCTTAATCTAAAAATGCTAATGTAATTAATTCTTGATCTTTTCGGAGTGATAACGAGTGTCATTTTATACAAGTTCCGGTATTGGTGTGTATTTGTTTTTGTTTTCTGTTTTAATCGTGAATGGTCTTAAGGCATGCATTGACTGCACCTTTTCATTCCGTAAATGCGAAATTTGAAACTGGTCCTTGGATGCAAACGATTTTGTGATGTAATATGAAAACAAATGTCAGTATTGGTTAAAGTGATTTAAAGGAAATATTTTCATAAGGCTTGGTAAATATGTTCAGCCTGGATGCTTTTTTAAAAAAAAAGTTATGTTGAAAAAGATATGACAAATCCATTAGTTCTGGAGAGATGAGAGTCAAAGTAATTATAGAATTTAGTCATGCTTTGAAATTTTGATAATATAGAGCTATATTGGATACTTTATTATGTTGACTTGTTTTTCATTTTGGACAATGGTAAAAATGCAAAAAAAAATCCTAAGCAGAACCAATAATTGATGTGAATTCACTAGATACTTTAAAAAGTCAAAAGTCGCAGAAATTGAAATGTGTTGAAATACAAATGGATAAAACAGCTTTATAAAAGTTTTCAGAAATAAGGTTTGGTATTTTGAGTTCGGTGAACTTGAATTGGAAAGCTTGTCTGTCATTTTGTCTTAATATTGACTTTTCAGCAGTGCGAATTAATTTATTTTTGTTTTCTTATTTCTGTTCTCTTCCCAGATGTTGGGTAAGCACATTAAGTCTGCAATTATATTGTCTAACCAAAGGATCCAAGAAAATGTTGAGAAGCTGTTTGTACTTTAGACTATTTCACTTTGTCATACTTTCACAAGTATCATAGTTTCATAGGACTTTGATGTGTACTTTCAAAATTCAGTTGTAGATGTTGGGAGTGAGATTTGTGAAAATAATTAGCCCAGTTATCAACATTGGAATGATGAAGATACAGACATTGCAAAAAGTTTCAGCATATTAGTCTCCCCCTCTACACACACACACACACACACCACATTTTGATGGTTTAAATATGTAGACATGCATGAAGTTTATACAAAACAGAAGCAAGGGGAAAACAGCATGTTGACAGGTTGTTTTTAGTAGAAATGTCAAGTAAACTGCAGCTTCTGGCATGTCTTATGGGCAACTTCTGACTGTTATGTGAAAATGAAATGTGTAAAAAGTTCAAGATTTCCTAGTAAATGAAAGTACAATTTATGTCAATATATTCTTTCATAAACCAACATGAAAATTTAGCAGCCTTGTTTTAAAAAACAGTGAATATTCTGGTCAGTTTTACAGATTGGAGGTGTGGTTTTTTCCTTGCTAATATTTGAGGCTTTAATTTGAATTTGGTGGAAAGTATTAATCGTAATTATGTTATGCCAGCTTTAAACATTTTTGATATATTATTGGAATACAGGTCAATGAAAACTTCTGTAATGCTTAAATACACTTGGTTAACAGCACTACCTGTTGAGGTATTCATGACATTTTTATTCTGTTTATTGTTGGTTTAGTCTTCTTTAAGTAGGATATTATTTTAGATTTTGTAGTTACTGGTGCCAGATTACAGATTTGTAGTAAAGGAGGTATTCCTAAACTGCCAAAATGGACAACGTTGCTGAATGTTTGGTACTTTTTTGATTGTGGAATAATATTTTGGTCTACTCTGTTGAGAATGGAATTGCCCTGTTTCTAATTTGCATTGGGTTACACCATTTTTTTTTAATAACTCTGAATTGATTAGTAATAGTTTCATAGCAGAATATGTGAATGGAAGGTTGATGTATGGTATTGAGGATTTAATCTGATTTCTGCAACTGTGGCACGATCTTAAAGGTATTAGAGGGGTTTTTCCTATATAATTGGATGAGAAATTCTAATTTTTCTTGATAGGGGAAAAATAATCATTTTTTTGAAACCAGTATTGGCAAATTATATATCTAATGAGCATATAAGTTTGAGAGATGGGTTTTTTAGTTTATTTTCATGTTTATGTTTGTACTTTGATATAAAATAAATACTAATTGCTGTTATTGTGAACTAGTGTGAGGGATAAATGAAAGTTTTAATTTGGACATGCTCACACTTGTGGTTTGCTATATGTTGGGAGTACTTTATCATGGTTTTGTCCCCAAGGTTTCTTTAATGCAGGACTGTTAACTGTAGCTATATGTTGCTTGCATTGATTCTTGCCTCCATTTATTCTTTATTGCAGTCTAAAAGTTGGTTTTAATTGGTTGCCCACAGGATTGACTTGACTTCTACTACTTGTTTAAGGAAAAAAGCCCATCTCTCCTTGCAGGTAAGATGCTCTCAAAATATATTTATGATTAATGAGCACAATTGGACAATTCAAGATTATTTTGCAGTGATTCTGAATATATGTGTTGATTTTAAACATTTCAGCCACCAAAACAGTACAGATTTTTTCTCCTTTATTTCCCAGTGTTTTTTATATATATATATATA